ACAACAACCAAATGGCGGCCAGCTGAGCACAGACTTCATGAGCCAAAGATGGAGTCTGGCCCTGAACAATAGCAGAGAGGAGCTTTTATTGGGGCACTCCACAGAAACCCATGCGTGCCAAGCATCTTTTTAAAATAATTGGATGCCCCCATATCCTGTGTACGGGGAAAGTCTTGATTGGTAGGGGCTGTCTTCAGGGCATTGGAATGTGTTGACTAATATCTTTTAGAGTCAGAAGTTTTTGTTCATACCTTATAAGGCTTTTACATGTACAATATGCCTGAGCTTGTCTGGGCTTATCTAAAGAAACTAGCCAAAATGGAGTCAGAGCATTCTGGCTCTTCAGTTACTTACCAGGGATGTGAGTGTGGGGTTACTTAGAGGAGCAGGAATGACTCAAAACAGCTGCATCATCAAAAGTCCACCCGCATATAAGTGATGGCTCACAAAAGCTGGAAACCTGGTACACACTGCAGCTTCTACAGGTCAGAGTGTCCTTTCCAGGTGGTTAGTTGGTCTGCAGGCAACTTGGCTGGTGTGTGGCTCTCCAGGTAGTTCAGCTGGTCTGAGAGTCTCTCAGCAGTCCTTATGGTATATTTATGCTTGGGGAGGGAGGGGCCTAGTGAATCTGGTCAATTTCAGGGACTTCCTGAAGCTTCTGAGTTTTTTACTTCCTAAACTTAATTCCCTCCAAGATGGAAATCCCAACAGAATATCTGGTGTGCAACTGAAACCTTTATTCCAGAGGGTCTGAGTCTAGTGACCCAAAGCAAGCCCCTGGGTCTTTGTGCTTATCTAGTCCCTAATTTTATGATGGATCTGATATAATTGGCAACAGGAGTAACCTAAACATTGATTCCTTGCCTTGGCCTGAGAGGCAAGAGTATGAGGACAGAGAAGACCAAATGGAAGCCTAAAGCTGTCCTTGCAGTGTATAGATCCATAACGTTGTTGCCCCTCATGAGTGTAGAGAGACAGAGGATGTCAGTGCTGCCATTAAGATACAGGGATGGTGGTCCCTTTTACATCTTGGTGTAAATTCACCCATCCAGCTCTTGAAGACACTCCCATGGATCCTGGAGAATGGCTGTAGGCTACCACAGTCTTCACCATTCACAAATCCTGGTTGTAGCTACTGTGCTGATTTCATGTAGTTGCTAAAGCAGATTAGTAAGGTCTTGATAGTAGTGTTCTGGCATGTTGCTTATGCACATGCACTCTTTTTTAAAAATATTTATTATTTTTATTTTATGTGTGTGAGTGTATTGCCTGCATGTATGTGAGTGCACCCATGTCATGCAGTGCTGCAGAGGTCAAAGAGGGCTTTGGATTCTTCTGAAACTGGAGTTAAGGATGGTTCGTAGCCACCATGTGGGTGCCAGGAATCAAACCTGGGTCCTCTGCAAGAGCAGTCAGTGCTCTTAACCACTGAGCCATCTCTCCAGCCCCACACATACACTCTTCTAAACAGATTACAAAAGAGATTGAGGAACCATCCATGACTCATGGGATGGATGGTAATATTCTCTTAACAGTTTTTTTCCCTAGGTCTGTATTAATGCTTCACCTCCACTTTAGCATGATCTGAATAAATCTGGACCAGATTCCATTTACTACCTGGCCTGAATGATGCTTCCTCCAGGTGAAGGAGGTGTGATGATACTTAGGGTATTACAGCTTCACCTTGTACTCAGAACTTGTATCCAGTCATCCTCAAAGTATCTGGTCAGTCCCCTTCTTTCTCTGAATTAATGCCTAAGTATCTATGGGAAAGGACCAGAGATATCCAGATGGATGACACTTAGCGTGATGCAGAGAGTCCTTCCTCCTACAGCATCTCTTCAGTTGGTGGGTCTGGAGCTGGATTTTGAACAAGCAGTAGTCATGGTTAACAGGTGACGCTCCCCGCCCCCCAGCATCCTCAATTCTGTTCTTGCCTTTTTGGGCACAGCCAATGGTACTCCAATGGCTGCTATGTTCTGGTAGCCATCTGCACAATGTCTGTGGGACTAGCATGACACGAAGGTCAGCTGTCATTTATGTCTTCACTTGTGTTTCTTATTTCCCATCTTTTGGATGGTTCTCATGATTTGAGGAGGCAGAACTGCCTTGACTCTGCTATCTTGGAACTGAAAGGGAGTCCTCAAGTCAGTTGATAGTAGTTCAGTTTTAGAGCCCCAAATCTGGTTGTGTTGTATTGGAGAGAGTCTGTGGGTTTTGGTAGAGCGGTCAGGAGTCCCGTGACCTCTTTACCTTTTCTTTGGCAGACACCAGCTGCCTCTCATAGTCTTGCTGGTGATGCCTCTCACAGAGCACCAGGTATGAGGACCAGTGTCCCTATCAGACATCCCAGAAATGGTTTATTATCCTAGTTTTCTAGCAGATGGCAGTAATATGTAAAGTTGTTCCCACAAAACTCATCTGCCCCTACAGTTTTCTGACAGGTGACAGTGTCTTGACATAGGCATGTTTCCTGATCCTCTCAGGCTCATTTGACCATGAACATGGTTTCCACTGCTGCCATTTGTCTCCGTTAGAAGCAGTGCTTCTCTAAGTATTCTTGTTCATGCAGCTGTGCACATAGCTCCAGGCCAGCCTATTGTCAGCGATGGCTGAGTAGTACAGTACAGTGGACGCTTCGTATCCTTGGCATCTACGTCATTGAATTCAGCTATCCGCAGATCAGAAGTATTTGAAAAACAAGAATTGCATTTGTGCCAAACACATGCAAACTTTTTTCTTGTAATTATCCCCTAAACAGTAATAACTATTTTCATAGCATGTCTATCATTTTTGGTATCATCGTCATCCAGACATGATTTAAAGTATACCAGGGAGCTGGAGAGATGGCTCAGTGGTTAAGAGCACTGGCTGCTCTTGCAGAGGGTTCATTTGCCAGCACCCAGTGGTGGCTAACAACATCTGTAACTCCAGTTCCAGGCATCTGATGCTCTCTTCTGGTCTCTGTGAGCATCGCACACAGGTGGTGTACTTATACACATGCAGGCAAAACACTCATACACATAAAAATAAATGTTTTAAAACTCTTCAAGAGTATATCAGAGGTATGCACAGGTTATATGAAAACACTGTTCCATTTTGTTTAAGGGACTTGCAGGCACTAAGGGTTTTTAAAGTATTTTTTAAATTAATTAACTTTTATTTTATGTGTATGTTTTGCCTGCATGTATTTAAGTGCACCCACGTGTACAGTGTCTGCAGAGGCCAGAAGAGGGTGTCAGATCCCCAGAAACTGGAGTTGTTAGCCCCCATGTGAGTGCTGGGAACCAAACCCAGGGCCTCTACAAGGGCAGTCAGTGCTCTTAACTGCTGAGTCATGTCTCTAGTCCCCAGGCTATAGAGTTTTAGAACAGAAGTGAAAGGCAGTGAGAGACCTCTGACTTGTTTTGAAGCAGGAACTCACAGTCCCATAATTCAGTTCCACCCATCCTCCTCTCTGACCTCACATACAGTCATTTCAGTAGCCACCAGTTTCACAGTTCCTTGCCAGTGTGGAATCCAGCCTTTATCAGTTGTAGATTCATTCTTAAATTTTATTTATTTTTAAAAAATATCTTATTTATTATTTTTATTTTATGTGTATATATGTATTGCCTGAATGTACTGAAGTGCACCCGTGTCATGCAGTGCCCACAGAGGACAGAAGAGGCTGTTGGATCCCCTGGAACTGGAGCTACAGACAGTTGTTAGCTGCCATGTGGGTGCTGGGATTCAAACCTGGGTCTTCTACAAGAACATCCAGTGTTCTTAACCATTGAGCCATCTCTCCAGCCCCTCATTCTTAAATTTTAAATAATTTCTTTTCTAGGATTTGAAGCCTAGCAACATTGTAGTAAAATCAGACTGTACCCTTAAGATCCTTGACTTTGGCCTGGCCCGGACAGCCTGCACCAACTTTATGATGACCCCCTACGTGGTAACTCGCTATTATCGGGCTCCAGAAGTCATCCTGGGCATGGGCTACAAGGAAAATGGTGAGTCTTTAGAACTGCAGCAGCCATGATAGTTGAACTACACTCATGGTCATCACTAGTGAATCTTCCTCTGACCAAGTGAAATAGTCTGAGGACTATGCTCACATAGATAACTGTAAGCCACAGATAAGTCACTTATTTTTACTCTCATTTATTAAAATCTTTCACCTTGTTTTATTGTGAGATGTGAGATGGGGTCTCACTATGTAACTCAGACTGGCCTCAAACATACAGAAATCTGCCTGCCTCTGGCTCCTGAATGCTGGGATTAAAAATGTGTGCCCCCATGCTGAGCTTAAATCTTTCACTTTTGAAATGAGCATTTTGATCGTTGGTCAGTGTAGCATACCCATAGAAGCGTGCAGCTTCCCGTGAGCACATGCACATAACCCACCTTGCTGGCATCTCTGGGTACCTTCTCACTCTCCTCGTTTCTAATACTGTAGACTGTTATCTTCTTTGAAATATTGATATAAATGGACTAATGCAATGTTTTCTTTCATGTAAAACTGATGTTTTTAACATCAAAACTTATTTCTAGCAATATCAGCTAAATATAAGCTAAAATTTAGCTTTTAACAAGTTTATTAGAAAGAAGTCACAAGTTAATGTGATTTAATTAATTAAATTAACTAATTACTTATCAGTGAAAGTTTGCTCAGGTCTTGTGAAATGACTTTGACCGAATTTATATGCAGTGCAGCCTGTGCTCTGCTCTAAGAGGCACTGCTCCCTGTTAGCTTCTCCCCATGCATGTCCTCCAGTAGCTGCGTGTGTCAGCTCTGCCTGCCTGTGTGCCATGAGAGTTAGCGTGCCCCATGCTGGACCCCACAGAACAGGACAGATACCACAGAGCGATGGTCAGGCAGGGCCTTGCAGGAGTCCAGAGCTTCCCTGTTGAGTTCTGCCTTTCTAATATGGCTGGTTAGAAAGTGATCATTCAGAAGATGTGTCAGGATTTTATAAAAGTTCCACCTGTTGATTTGGTGTTCAGTGGGTCTGTCATGTTTGGGAGGTGGTTTGGAGAAAAGAGATACAGGGCTCTCTGGCTGGTTTTTAATCACCTGGTATTTGGTAGTGGACATCTGGTCTGTCGGGTGCATCATGGCAGAAATGGTCCTCCATAAAGTCCTGTTCCCAGGAAGAGACTGTATCCTTCACAGGGAGAGACCCAGCACTTGGCCTTGGAGGCTGCTGGGATTGGGGCTATGTGGGTGGGATGTGGCCCCGAAGAGTTTCGTGTTCTTGGCACTTACTGTTTCTGTTTTTTTTTTTTGTTGTTGTTGTTGTTGTTGTTGTTTGTTTGCTATTTTTGTTTTTGTTTTCTAAGCTGTAAGTATTGGATTCTTTGGCACTAAAACCACAGATTGCTGCAAACCAAAGGCAAAACTAGAGGCCAGCAGTCATTCATAATGTGCACAGTTCACCTTAGCTAGTCCCTTGTTTTTCCATATTTGTGTGTTTAGTACACTGTTAGAATCCTTTTTCCTCACTTTTGTTTTGTTCATGACACTTCATAATTTTATCATTTCATTTTATTTTCAGTTGATATCTGGTCAGTGGGTTGCATCATGGGAGAGCTGGTGAAAGGTTGTGTGATATTCCAAGGCACTGACCGTATCCTTCCCCAGGACCTTGACCCTGGCTGTGCTTTCCATACAGAGGGCAGCATGGTGACGCCTACTTACATGGATGCTCAGAAGGAAGTGTTGGATCCAGACTACTCGCAGGGGGTCTTTGTAATGTTTGTTAGATTAGTGTCACAATCCAACGGGGTCAGTTTTGCGGTTTCTTGTTTACTTAAATACCTGTGGCAATTTTGTAAAAACTTAAGAGTTAAGCTAAACGAATTATATTAGCTTTATCAAAAATAGCTAGATATATAGAAGAAATTATTTACCTTTGATAAATATTTTCTGATACTTAGGTAGAAATATTGTTTTGTAAATTAGTTCATTCCATGAGTTAGCTGGGGAAGATGCTATCTAAATATATAGGCTAAAATATGTGTGTGACTTACTATACTATTTTCTCAGTTACATTATATGTGAAAATATTTCCCTTATTGAAGAACTGAAGCACTTTATGTAAGACAAGTGGAAAAGGTTAAAGTGAAAGTTTTGTCAGAATAATATACTAAACTTTCTCATTTCTTACTTTGCTGACATTTTATAGACATTTAAAAAAAACTATCCAGAAGGGTATTTTGTGACATGCTGGGGAACACAAAAGATGAACTCCCCCTGTGGCCAGCAGGCCCTGTCAGTGACAGTGAGGAGAGGACAGACAGCGCACAGCGTGCCTTTCTTTCCTCGTGCGTTCTTCCAGCTTTTGTTTGCCCTGACATGGTTCTTCATGTGTGCCTTTTTCATTTGTGTTCTAACCTCTCATATTTTCACTAGTCTTTGATTTTGTTTTTGTTATGAGAGATTAAAATTGTCTTAATCTGGTAGCAGGTCCGTGATTACTCTAAAAGGAAATCAAGCTCTATAGTCAGGGTTTTGAATGTGTTTCACAAAAGGAACTTTAGTTATAAAAGAAGACAGCTTCCTTAAAATATGAATTCACAACATGAACTTGGAATGAAAAGATTTTATTCTATTCATTTTATTTACCTCCCTTTATATTTTCCATGTCACAGGTTATATAATATGGAAGTTAAATGTCAACATTTTGTTTTGTCCTAATAATTTTTCTAGCATCTTTCCATAACCTTACCTCAGATTCACTTGTTCCAAACCATAAATGGAAGTCATTATATTATAATGTAACTTATAGATAACTTCAACTAAAGGAAAGTTGAGGTGTTCAAAAGTTAGTATTTAGAAACACCATGTGGAGTTGTGATGAATGGGTGATAGACCGGAATGTCAGTTTTTACTCACTTTGTCCCAATCCTTACTCCTTTTTTTACCTTTTCTTATTTTTATTAAGAATAGTTTTTCCCAAAAATACAAAAATAAAAAATAAAGGTACTTTTGGCACATTTTAGTAACTTAAAGCAATAAAATACTTATATATTAATATGTTATAATATCAATAGTTAATGCTTTATATATAAAGTCACCCTAAATTATTCTTAAAGCCCCATATAGAAACTGATATTTTCAGCACTGGAGAGATGGCTCGGGTTAAGACCACTGGCTGCTCTTGCAGAGGACCTGCGTTGAATTTCTAGCACCCACGTGGTGGCCAACAACCATCCATAACTGTGAGCGTTGCATGGCACAAGTGTACTTACCTGCCTGCAGGCAATACACACATAGACATAAAATAAAAATAATAAACTTAAAAAAATTTTTTTTAAAAATGACATTTTCTAAAGAGTTAGCTTTTTCAAACATTAGATTGAACAATTTGGGAGGTATATAAAGGTTCTAGAAACCAGACTGAGGCTCTCAAGCAATTTGCTTGTGATCTCGGTGTAAAAGGATCTAGTGTCTCCACTGTGGCCTTTGTGAAAGAGAAAACTTTAGCTAAGCTGCCTTGAACCCAAGTTCAGACTGCTGCCCCCAGTAGTTGTGCATCCTGGAGAAATTCAAGCCTCTCTGGGTGGGGTTTCCTATTTTTGGAATGAGAGACCTATGCTCTGCCCATCTGGAAGGTCCACCTGGCTTGCCCAGGTTATCTTTCCCCTTTCCACCTTCCTGCCATCTGTCACCGTGACCCCATTACTGTAGCATTAATCCAGAGGGTAGTTATTAAACACCACCCATTTCTAGGTGCCTCATCTGAGTGAGGCTCTAATAGACTCACTGCAAAGCTCAGTAGAGGGTAGATTGTCCAAGGACAGAGTAGAAGCAGGAGACACTGCAGAAGCTGTTAGTCACCTGGTGAGATGACAGAGCCTCACACAAGACCAGTAGGGCCAAGGGCAGGGAGAAGGGCCTAAAGTCTGCTTGTGCTCTGAAGCTCTGACCTTCAGATGCTCTGTGGGGATTTGGAGTATCAAATCTATCAGATATGAAACTCAAGGGGAAGATTAGCAATCAAGGAAGGAATGTGGAAGCCCCTGGTCTGTTGATAGCGGGCAAGACTGGAGAGCGAACCAAGGGAGCAGGACTGAGGAAAAGCCTGAGATGGATCATTGCATTGAGTGGCCGCTGCCACTGTTCTCCCAGAGGGCCGGCAGGAAGTCTGAGGAGAGTGTGCTCCAGAGAGGATGAGGGGCTATGAATTTGTAGTTACTAACAAAATCAGTACCTCTTTAGGGGGTTATGCAAGCAGCAGTAAGGAATGGAGTGATAGCTAGCAAAGGCTGGGCCGTCAAAGAAAGTGGTTGCTGTGTTAACGTAGAATTCTTGTGTTAGTGACATAGAAGGCTCAGGGGAGAGTATGCTGGTGGTGGGGTGGCAAGAAGAGTGACAAGTGCTTGTCCTTGAGTAGGGGAAAGTGGACTGGGGTGGGGAACACAGGGTCTCATGGGGTCTTACATTAGTCTTCACAGTGAGGAGCTGAGCACTGGGAAGAAGTGTCTAGATAGTTAAATAAAAAGTGCGCATGATTCTGATTTGGCAGAATGTGTGAAGGGAGAGTTTGCTAAGGACTTGGACCTCTGAAGCACATTTCCTGAGCAGGTTTTCCAAATTCATTTGGAAGAACTGAACTTATATGACTGGGCTGTAGGTGATTTTACAATACCTGTGCATTTTCTGAGAAGTACCTGCCACTTTTTTTAGCTTCTCTTGGTTTTTACAGCCTGCATTGTGTCATGTCACTGCTTATAGTTCACTTTTCACAGACACTGTCCCAGCCATCCTAAGCACCCTGTGAGCTAGGCACAGCTGGTATTATCTGCCTGGTACAGGTGAGGAAGTTGTCCCCAGGAAGATTGACTCTGACAGCCTTGAGTGGGTAATACATTGTGGACTCTGAAACCCAGGTCACATTCTTTAAAAGGAAATAAAATGCATTGCTTGATGCTCTAGGGATGGTGGGGTGGGTCAATGCCAACTAAAACAGAATGCCTCTGAAAGCTGTCATTGTCAGGCAGTTTCAGGAAGTAGTACAACCCATGAGAAAGGACTAGGCTGAAAGTGCAGAAAAGCCAGAGCCCGGGTTCCTGTTCCTTCCCTCACCATACTTCCCTTATCTGCATGTCCCACAGGGCTCTGTTGCCTATTTATGAACAGGAGAGGTCAGATGGATCTCTCAAGCTCCTTTGTCCTTTAAAGACTTGTGAATCTACAGTAGCTTTAGTATGAAAATTTATTTTAATTTGCTTATGTGATATTTACTTTATTTCATGTTAATCATTTCTATCATAGGTTGAATCATTTCTGTCATAATTTTATTTTGAACTACAATAGGAAAGTACTTATATTGATTTAATAAACCATGATCATAGCATATAAAGATGCAGAGTATAAAGAGTGTAAGAGGTTTTTTTAAAAGTAACTTGGAAACCCAAACCTTACTTGAATATTATTCCAAAATGTTTCTGCTGACCCAGTAAGGTGGCCTAGTTGCCTACTCGTCCATAGGTACAAATATGATTTTCCTTTGAATGATGGTACTATATGTAATATGAATATAAGGCATTTCAGCCATATTTTCCTCAAGAAAATCCTTAGATATTGATCAGTGGAATAAAGTTATTGAGCAGCTGGGAACACCATCAGCAGAGTTCATGAAAAAACTTCAGCCAACTGTGAGAAACTATGTAGAAAACAGACCAAAGTATCCTGGAATCAAATTTGAAGAACTCTTTCCAGATTGGATATTTCCATCAGAATCTGAGCGAGACAAAATAAAAAGTAAGACATTCTTTTATTCCGACGCTTGCTTCTGTAATGTTTGTGTCCTAAAGCCTTTGTATGTTAGGAGACAGAATAGTTGAAACCCTGAAGTAAAGTCACGCACAGACTGGAGCCTGACATGTGAAGGCACTGCAGAGTAAAAGCTGAAGACTAGGAGTCTTGACCTCAGGAAAACGTCCTAACTGAAGCCCTTAGCCAAAATTAAAATATTCAAATCTCTCTAAAAGACTCCTATGCTGTGGGCTGGGAAGATGTCTCAGTGGGTAAAAATACTTCCTCTGCAAGCATGTGGACCTGTGTTTGAATCCCTAGCACCTGCACAGCCATGGGTGTGCCTGTAACCCAAGCTTTATGGGGTGGAGACAAGTGGATCCCCGAAGTTCACTGGTCAACCTGTCTCACTGAACTGGAGCTTCTGGTTCAGTGGAGATGCTATCTTAAAGGTGGAGCACAATAGAGGATGACACGTCATATCCTCATCCAGCCTCTGCATGTGTACACACCCACACACTCATGTGCATGTACCATACCCCCCCACACATACACACACACAAAAGACAAAAGGAAAAGACCCTTATACTGTGATGTCAGTGATCAGAACTCAAACAATTCTCAGATATAAAGAATGCTTCACTAGGATTCTAGAGTCAGAAACCATATGGGAGTATTGAGTGGGAAGGACCTTCCTCCTGCTCTTCTGTGTCCTTCCTAGATGTGCTCACCGGAGGAAAAAGGATCCTTTGCTTCTCTCCTCCTTTGGGTAAGCAGTGTGTGGTCAGACAAGCCTCAGCCTTTCCTTGGTTATGCATATTGTGAGCTTTCATTGTTGAGGCCCTGTGAGCCTTCTGCTTAGCCAAGTTACTAAACTTACTGAATTTTTTTCCTAACTATTAATCTCTAGATTTTTTTTAAAAAGGTATATGTTGTCAACATTGTACACAGGCTAGGCGAAGCAGAGGCATCTTGAAGCGTGCTATATACCCTGGGAATGTGGGATTATTGTGAGGTTTTAAAAGTCTGTTCTAATTTTGTTTTAATTTAATATAAAGAAAAACTATTCCCTGCACTTCATGCCCACACTCTGGCAATACCACCCTGAGAAAGGTACTGGGCACCTTACCTGCCTCAACTTCTTAGCTTCAGGTCATCTGAATGCTGGTCTGAGACTGCCTGGTACCCTCACCCCACACACTGAAGCCCACACTTACCCTCCTCCCTCCCAGATGCAAGGGCATGAAACCACACTTGAAAGCCTAGTCTGTAATAGTGGCTGGACCCCAAAATATTTTGAACCATGTTGATCTTGCATCCACCAAACATTTCTCCAAGTCAGTGTATCTCTGCACCACCCCTACGGTTACACGTGGTTCTTGATTATGTGCTTTCCTTGGTTCTACACCAGCAGCCTAAGTATATTATTTGTTTTCACCCCAGCAAGTCAAGCCAGAGATCTATTATCAAAAATGTTAGTGATTGATCCTGACAAGCGAATCTCTGTGGATGAAGCCTTGCGTCACCCGTATATCACTGTTTGGTATGACCCCGCAGAAGCAGAAGCGGTAAGTGTCTGTTTGGAAAGGACGCCTGTGTAGAGGACCACTTTGATCTCCAGGGCCACTACCTGTGGATCTTCTATTAGTCCAGAATGGCTACATGAGGATAGCAGGTTCTAGATTGGGGCTCCTGATTACAGAAATGGAACAAGGATTCTGAAGCCTGGATCAGCAGTCCTGCACACTTGGGGTTGGGGCTAGAGCTCAGAGAACTCAGGAGTGAGCATAATTATACTGCAGAGATATAGTTGTCTTCATGTATGCAAAAGGTGATGTGTGATTTATGAAGCATTTGTTCATAGTGTCCAGCACTAGGCCATCAGCTTTCATTATATCTTATTTAGGCCCTCAAATCAGAGAGACTAAGCAACTTTCTGGAAGTGACAGATTTGCTTACCCTTCCCTAGAGCATCCAGGAGTCCATTCCACCACCCGTCTCCTCACGGCTGTTTCTTCCCCATTTGGTGCTCATGTGTGTGTTTTCATAATTTCACTGAATGATCTTTCACTACAAGTGAAATAATGTTTACTTCATTGCTGTGTCCCAGCTATTAACCACCATGTTTAACAGTGTTGTATATCAAAAGAATTGGGGTTATGAGCAGCTAAATTGTGGAACAGTCCATTCATGAGCTGGGGCTTGGACATAATTGTCCTCTCATGAAAGATTGTACACTAGAAGTCTTTTAAGAGAGGGCACACCTGAGCTCCCACACGGACAGAGCCTTGTCCCTGAGGATCTCAAAGCTGCTTATGGTTATTAATTTTGTAATTACCTTTGGGTGTTATCTCTACAGAGTGTCTTGGGGTCATATGATTATTAAAAGGTTTGTTATTAATAACTCTCTTGGTTAACTTTCCTTAATTATTTTGATTCTGAAACTGATAAAATATATTTATCAAAATTTTTTTAATGTTAATTAAACTAAATCCATGTTATAAGCAAACTAGATGTGTTCCAAGTCCTGTGACCTTCCCATTGTGTGTGTCCCATTGGTTTTGAACTGTTGGCCTTACAAGTCATTTAATTTTTAGCCACCACCTCAGATTTACGATGCCCAGTTGGAAGAAAGGGAGCATGCGATTGAAGAGTGGAAAGGTAAGGGCAGCTTGTTTTGATCCTGGTCTATCATACGTCTCAGTCTGCAAAGCAGGCCTTTTACTTTTTGCCACTAGCCCCTTGGGAAGGAGCTTGAGATGGAGAAGCTCCCGTCTCCTCTCTCCCCACTTCCCAGCTGAGAAAGAGTGTGAAGACAACAGTGTTAGAATGGAACATGTAGGACACCATAGTTTGCTTCAGGCATGAAATACAAGGCTCCTTTCACATGGTTTTTCATTATCAAACACTGGGTAAACTTGAATTCAGTAAGTGTGTCGCACTCATCTTGGTAATGTGAAAATTTGTCATGCTGCCCTGGTTTACAAGCCGTACATTTCCTGCAAAGATTCCTGTCTAAGCAGATGGGGGCGGAGGGTGGAAGCTGGGAGTCATCCAAATGTCTGTGCATATCTTTAAGCCATGTAGTTGTATATTTTCAAATCTAGTTTGGAGGAATTGCCAGTCAAAAATAGGCAAGAAGTTATTACTACCTCAAGATGAACCGCAAGAACTAAGCTGGTAATGAAGAAGCAAAACTTGCAATTCTTCATTCAGAAGCAGGTCAGCAGTAACTAAGGGCCATGGTCAGTACAGGTCAACACTGGGTGCAGATCATGCCTTTCCAGAGTATGGCTTGCCAGTCCTCACACATGCATACACTCAACATGGTAGTACTCGAAGCCACATGCATAGGCCTCAGTGTGTGCTCACATGTGCTAATGTTGGTTCATGAATGCCCTAATAACTTATGTGGTAGCCAATCAGTTCTTATCAGAGGAAGTTGAGGGATTCCAAAGTTGACAGCAAGACATGGCTTATGTGTGAATTCATTTTGGCCAGTCTGGAACTTCTAGGCCGTCCAGATCCCGGTCACATTTAGAAAACCACAGTAATAGGGAATCAGATGTCAGTTCTTTTATAACATCTCTTAAGAGCCCTCTGCTTGTTTGCTGTCTCCCTTTTCCTCTCCTTCCTTCCTCCCTCCCCTTTGCCTCTCCTCTATCTTTCCTTCTTCCTTCCCCATCCCTCTCCTCTCTCTTCATTACTCTCACCGCACTCTACAGTCCTACATCTTTGACTGCCTTAATGTGTTAAAGAGATAATGAATGAAGCAGGCTGGGGTATAGCTCAGTAGTAAAACACTTACTATTATGTCCAAATCCCTGAGGTTGATCCCTAACACCTAAATAAGTAAAGTCCAATGGATCAAAAATGACTGTTTTGGTACAGGTTGACTGTATTAATGAATTAACTATATATTACCATTAAAATAACACATCACAGTGCCCTTGGAGTAGTTCCAATTGATTTGGAAGCAGAGTTCAGACATGTCAAGAACTGACAAAGCATTTTAACTTGCATTTCTATTTGAAGAGCTAATTTACAAAGAAGTAATGGACTGGGAAGAAAGAAGCAAGAACGGTGTTGTGAAAGATCAGCCTTCAGGTTAGTGATTGCTTTAATTGTGCCCTTGTCTAATATTTTCTTTGCCTACTCAACTTTTATAAATGACAGCAATGTATTAATGCCCACCATCACTGTATGTGAAAACCCCTTGTGTGAAAGAGTTGGTGCCTTTCTGGCTTGTCCTGATGGTGGTGGAAGAGGTGGCAGCAGTCAGGTTTTTCCAAGGTGCCAGGCCCTGAACTAACTGCATTTTAAACATCCTTGTTTCGTCCTAGCACCAGCTGCTGTAGAGATGAAGGCACTGAATTTGAAGCCTTTTCAGTGTACATGGCCCTCTTTGTACTGATCCCATCCAGTTAAAAAAGAAGAATATTAGTACAAATCTATGTAAAATGGAGTTTGGTTTTCTTTTGAGAAAATGGTTTATCTAATTTCCCACTTTTCTATTTGGTAGAAGCCTAATGATTAGAGAAGTCTTTGATCACAGGAGATTCTGATACCAGTGACGTTAATTTAACTAGTGGTGTTAACGTCTATATCTGCAGATTTCTACTTGTTTACTGGATGAAACGTATTTTCTCACTCGCACTTGAAATCACACACACACACACAGGGGTAAATTTGTACAGCTTATTTCTTATTCTTGAATTTTGTATTTGATATGGCATATGTGTTAGGCATCTAGATAGTTTAGGTAAGACTGCAAACCCTGATCTCGGACAGCAGGAAATAGGCTAGCTTTATTTACCTTCAGAATTAAAATAACAGCCTTCTAGACTCACAGAACAAAAACAAAATGCATATAGCAGGGCACTAAATAAACTTTTCCCTATTTTGAGTGTATAATCTTTATTTTAGAAAGTATTTTTATCACAAAAGATCTCTTTGAATATCCATGCTTTTTTTTCTTTTTTTCTGTAGACTAGGTGTTTATGTAATAAATGGAACATCTGATGACACTTAAATCCTATTCAGGCTTAACCCTCTTGTGATACTTCTAGGATACATCCAGCCATTTCCTTTTAAGGTCTGTTTGAAATCAGCAGATGTCTTTTTAAGTAGCTAACATGATCAAACATGATTGTATGTTATCCACAGGGAAGAAAAGGAGAGTGTCACAGGAAATACATAGGGCTATTGGGACTTGGGGTAAAAGAAGAACTCAAGGAAAAGTTCCAGAAGTTCAGAATATAGTCAACCAGGTTCTTGTTCATGCTAATAGTTAGGACTGGGAAACAGGAAAGACCGAGCTTAGAAAGAGCCAGAAATCTGGTCCCTGCTGGGAAGCAGTGCCGTGCCTCAGGCTGTACTGTTTGGTTTTCTTAGCACAGATGCAGCAGTAAGTAGCAGTGCCGCTCCTTCTCAGTCATCATCTATCAATGACATTTCATCCATGTCCACTGAGCAGACACTGGCCTCAGACACAGACAGCAGTCTCGATGCCTCAACAGGACCCCTTGAAGGTTGTCGATGATATGTTGGAAACAGCACACTTGTCTGTGAAGGAACTCTCGCTTCCATGGCCCTGACATGCGTGAGAGTTGATGGAACCAAATAGAAAAACTCCATGTTCTGCATGTAAGAAACATGATGCCTTGCCTCTACTCAGTTCTAATAGGATTGCCTGCTTAGATCATAAAATGAAGCAGATTACGTCTGAAGAAAAAAGTACAAGCCACACTGTTAGAGATTTTGTTCAAGGTCATTTCAGGTGAGCAATTAGAATAGATGAATTTCTTTTACACATTGTGTGGTATTGTGGTGACAGTGTCTTATCTGTAACCACTGGGACTTATATGCATGTGGCCACAAATGCTTGCTTGAACTTGTACATCTAGCAATCTGGGAATCAGTATTTCAATTCCAAATAATCTAGGTAGTTCTGCTTCTAGAATAATCTCTTAATTATCTTTAGTAATTTGGTATCTGTCCAGAAAAAAAATAGATTCATGTATATTAATTGGCTGCCCTCATAT